AGTATTTGAAAAATAATGTGTTTTTTGAACATTAAAGCATGTCAACATATTCTGTTAAACCAAATACACAAAATAATGATCTTTAAAAAAGCATCATATGACCCCTTTAAACACTCATCACACTGTGATGCATTTGTGCTGCAAAATGCTAAACACAAGCGGCAAAATTTAAACAACTTAAAGCACAGTTGTCATCGTTTACACACAACGATTCAAAATTGTTCACACTTGTTTCTAATGATGTGATCAAACCAACTGTACAAAATATGAGCCAGTTCAGAGTGCACAGGTGACTGAATGATGATATGAACAATAGATGGAAACAATCTGAGAAGGAGAGGAGGAAGAGTACATGTAAGAAGTGGAGGATGAGGAGAGAAAGAGTAAGGTTTAGCGAGTGTTATCAAGGCTGGATCTGTCAGACCAGAGGGGTTTTTTATAGCAAAAAAGACAACATTACTTGTAATGTGGACAAAGTCCTCAGGCCGGACTCAAGCATAAAGACATGATGCTGAGACAGAATTAATCTCTCATTGACTCTGATTTTACGATCACACAACTTACAGTATTTGAGTGTACTGTAACATGCTATTCATTTAGAGTTTTATTTGACCTTTTTGGCCTTTGCAGTTGGACTGCAGTATTTTTTGCAGTATCCAAGTGCTGAATATATACAAACATTGAGTACTATTCAATATTCAGCACAATACTATTCTTGCAGTACATACATAGGCCTATACAATATATTCACCTTACTCAGTTGCAATTACTATACTTTTTTACAGAATTGCAAAATGTACTCAATGTCATATACACAAGTAAAATGGTTTTGCAGTGATTGTTTGATTTTGATAGAAGAGTCAGAGGTTTCGTAAATTTAGTTTGAGTATTTGGATTTGTGTTTAAGGTTTTTGAGAAAATGAGTGTTGGTTTCAAGAAATGTGTTTTTAGCAATTCAGAAAAACTCTAAAATACTCAATCATAATGAACATTTTTTTAATTTAGAGAAACATGCAGGTTTGATATTGCTGCGCAACAAATGGTTTGTTTGCTCATTTTTTCACCCTGATACGATTTTCAATATGCATGTCATTCTGAAAAAGCTGCTCTGCTTTGTAAATGACATGCCAAGTTTGCTTGGGTGAGAAAGTAAACAGATTACCATAGATTGTTAGGTTTTTAAATAAACAGTTCTTCATTTGCTGTGTAGTTAAGTGTGGATTTTACATAAAGATGGTTTGCTTTTAAATGTAAATATTCTGAAAAGTTGTTTTGATTAGGTACATAAGCTATAGCTTTACATCTGTAGTAAATGCTTAATGTTTAATGATATAACATTCTGCAATGACACCGGGAAACACTCTCGCCTTCACCAGCAGATGGCAATAAAATACAGACATTTGCTGAAGCTGATATTGGATTCACCAATTTGAGGCTCGAGAAAGTTTTTATTCATAATCCTACATGAACATCGTTTAAAATAACCAGTTTCCTCTTGAAAAAATAAAATAATAATAATAGCATAATAATGTCTTAATATGTAAGACAAACATAATGTCTATCTTTTGTTGTTGCTTAAATCATTTTATTTGGCCATTTTTATTGACAGAAGTACCGCAGAGAAAACAGAATTCTAGATAAAAGGGAGAACAGGGTAGGAAGAAATCAGAAAAAAAGGATGAAATCAGACTTTATCTTGTGTTGTCCACTTTCTTGTAT